GACTCCAGTGTGTGGAAGTCCTGTGCAGCAGCCAGGACCACAGCCCATTAATAAACACGCAGCCATGTCTATGCGGTCGTCCCCTGCAGGGGGCGCCCCAAGCTTAGGCCCTATGCAGCCATATACTGTATACACACACACACACACACACACACACACACACACACACACATGCATACACCCATCTAACTCAAACCTGGAGCTAGAAATCCCAGCGTGCACTGGCAGAACATCAGGTCCCGTAACAATTCACTTGGTGATATAATCACACGACAGACTCAGCTACCATGAGATGGGGGGGTTGGGCGCCATCAGGGGGACCGCGAACCCACACCCATCCTGCCGATACTGGGTAGCTTTCCTGTAGCTCCACTACTAGTGCTCTGTGTTAGCCGTGCAGCGCTCAGGAGTTCAAATCCCAGGAAGAACACAAAAATGACAGTGTGGACCTACGCCTTGGGGGGAGTGTGGCTCAGGGGGCTCAGTGCCTGTGATCAGAAGGTTGCCAGGTCAATCCCCAGCCTTGGCAGGACAGTCACATGTCTGTCTCTTCAGCTAGGCCCTTAACCTAGTGGGGGTGGGGGGACGACTACCCCTCACATGCACTCTCAGAAAAAAAGCGTACCAATTTGTACTTTTGTTTGTCACTGGGGCTGTACCCTCAAAGATCTGCCAATGAAGGGAATTATACCTTTTAAGATGGTACATTAATGCTGTTTGTCCTTAAAAGGTACAGAAATGTAAGGTACAGCTCAAGCGACAAGCAAAGGTACTTTTATTCTGAGAATGTAGTGGAGAGCACAATGGGCCACAGTGAATAAGAAAGTACAAAAAGTACAACCATTCTATTCTAACATTAGAAGCTGGCAGACACTGAATAAAGTAATGAGGATGTTGAAGTAACAAACCTTATCCGTATTCCATATATAAGAATAGCATAAAAGCTGGCTGCTATACACTCCAAACTACAGGTACAGCGGTGCGGAGCAACGCAAACGCGTCACCTGCCGTGCACGTAAGGAGTGGGATCGATGCGCCTTTAATTTTTTTAGAACAGCTGTAAATCCAAGCGGGACACCAAATCCGCCTCGCGCGCCTCTGCACCTCTTTTTGGACGCCGCAGAGGAGTATTTGGGTTAGATCAGCATCCCCCTTCCCGAAGAGCTCCTGCCGCCTGCTGAATTTTTCTGCTGACCCCTCAGCGCAAACACAGCCCCATATATCACTCATTAAACACCGTCCTGCAGCAGTGCCTTAAACTGCAAACCACTACGCAGCGGACGGGTGTTTTTTGCATATGTGTGTGTTGGCGGATTTCATCGCTGTGCGTGTGTGCGACAGAAACCTAAGTTGAATCCTCCGAGGGATGTGGTATATTTCCATCATTATGCGCAAACGGACCGTAGTAACATGTTCTTATTCATTGGTTATCGAACAGGTTCCAAAAATAGGTTTTGTTTGTTTTTGTGTGTGTGTGTGTGTGTGTGCGTGTGTGTGTGTGTGTGTGTACGCGCTCTGCAGAAGCAGTGTGACAAACACAGCCCAGCAAGTTAAGCCAAAGCGCATGATACCGTCGGCTGGCCTAGGACGGCTGTCACGTGGTTCGAGGGACACAACTTCCAATTCGATCGCATAAGAGGCATTGTCCTTTGTTGATTTCAGTTTTAGACGTATAATAATATCTCTACGGAATTAAGGCGCAGTGTCGAGCACTATATACATGGAGAATAATATATTCTTTTTCGCATGCTGTTTCAGATCATATAGCCTAGGTTTTAATATGCCAGACCGCATATTGTTCCCATTCCGAAAAGCGTTGGACGTAGCCTATATAAACTACATCGATTGTATTTCTATCGACTCACCTAATATTACATGTTAATTTGCAAATGTCCCTCGCGAACAATTACACTAATAATTTTTGCGCAATTAAATCGATATATACAAATGTTTTAATACATCTCTTATTATTTCTCGAGCTCATTCTAATTTCTGATGCACAATAGATAAGGGCAAGAAATCATTTTATGGGAAAATAACGTTATCATAAAATTAGGAAATACACAAAGACTCGAACCTGAAATAAGTTGATGTTTATATAAAAATCAAAATTTTCAAAATTGGATAATATTAATTTTGAATTCTGTAACATTATTTTCAGGACACAATTTAGGCTATCTGACGCTTTATTCGTTTATCGTAACAGCTACCGCACGCCCTGCACTTCACTGAAGATGCGCCGTCCTGTTATCATCCCATCTGTTGTGAACTTCGTTTAAGAAAAAAAAAATGCGTACAGAATGGACAGACCAACTCACCTCGCGCGTGGAAAGGAGCGGTGTTTTATATTAGAGCAGTCAGAAGCGTAGTGAGATGAAGATGGGCAAAGCAGACGGAAGAGTAGAGAGCACAGTCCGGGACCGAGGAGGTGCGCTGCACATGCGGATCGGCTAAGCGCTGATAGCAAAATACACCCCTCCTAGTGACCCTACTCTTTCTTGTGCTGAACAACAGTCGCGTCTCTCCCTCTCTCCCCCCTCACAGCACTCCTCATTGTTCAGTCCATCTCGACCCCGCCCCCAAGAACAATTAAAGACCTCTATATACATATAATAAAAAATGACTAGGTGTTTGGATATTATGATGCGACAAAAATATTTACATGTTATGTTCTATATTCTGACACAATATAACACATCAGTACGTTCTGGAAACTCGGATCTGTATGATAGTTTAAAAGCATGTGTCGCCATCTGCTGGAGAGTTTCCATAATTACCCTGAAGGGACCAAATGCATTTTAGTCACCACACTGATTTTTAAATGTTATTTCATTTTTTTGCGTTAATTTGTGTTATTTCGTCATAAAAGTAGTGGCTTCGGGTCACGAAATAATTGATATGAATCAATATGCTAAATGTGATTTTATGTTTTTCAACGTTTAGAGCAAACGACTGACCTTAATTCAAGTTGATTGGTCGGTATTTTACTTACTGGCTAGAATTCCTCTTGAGTAATATTGTACAGCGAGTCTTGGGAAATATTTCGCAATAACTGAATGCTGTGCTGCGGAACGGGCTACTGAAATGCGTGGCTCTTGCGTGTCCATCCGCACGCATTAATCGCGCAAAGCGTTTGCGGTCTCGTTGTACAGTTTGTGCCTCTGCGCGCCCCGTATCTGTCGGACGACTTCCGTGCGATACGAAGGTCGAACGCTGACAAGCACGGCGAAGTCCGCGCCGCCGGAGACCAAGACCCATACTGCCCGATTCTCAAGGGGAGCTTATTTCCAGTCGAACAATGTTCAAGATTGAAGGACTTGGGCCAAAAATGGACCCGGAGGAGATGAAGAAAAAGATGCGGCAAGATGTCATTTCGTCTCTGCGGAATTTCCTGGTTTATGTTGCTCTTCTCAGAATCAGTAAGTATCGTCGGAGGCTGCATGGTATATCACGTTTCACTAAATTTCTTTATTGCACCCAAGCAAATTTCTATAGCAGATTTCCGGTCAGCATCACACATTCAAGTGCATAACTGTTTATACGGAAATACGCAAAAGATTGCTGGTCATAAATGCAAAACCTTTCTTTCATTCATTCATTCATATTTCATTCATCCATCCATCCATCCATTAATTAATTACCTGTTTAGGGTCGCGGCCAATCTTATATGTATAGACAGTCAAAGTTCCCCACGCACCCTTTCCGCCAGGCTGTAAAATGAAGGTGCTTTTCCAGCGTTTATTTCTTTTTCATTTAAGTCCTTTGCCGCTGTATGTTTCTCTGCTGTCCAGGCCGCTAAGCAGTTTCACTGGTACGAATCTTTTGCACTGATACCACGGACGCCGAAATAGCATCCAATGTTTGCTGTGCTTATTGCGGTGTATCCGTTGCGCACCATGAAATAGATACTCCCCGGAAAACGACCCTGAAATGTACAGAATGATCTGGGCACGTCACTGCATTAGAAATGTAATAGGGAGAGGTCATGGTGATTAGCCTGGCGATATTATTCCTTCCGTCGGTGCTTTTACAGTCTATGCCTTGTATGAATAAAAAACCAGGCTATGAACCGGATTTAGGTGTGCTGATGTCATATGATTTTAGGGCTGTTGCGTATTTTGGGTTTAGTACATTAGCGGCGCAATCCCTGAACGCGTGAAAGGCTCTCAGAAAACGACGTAAGTAAACGTAAGGACTTACAGACATTCAACTTTTATGTTTTTCTAAAAATAAATGTGCAAGAAAATAACACATTTTCATAAATCACAATGGCGACTGTTTGGCCATTATCCATCCATCCATCCATCCATCCAGTGCAGTGTTGGTAGAGCGGCTGAATTTTAGGCAGAAGGAACAAAGTCGGTTAACACTGCAAAATGATGCCCGTGCCAACACTGGGCACAGAAGCATCCAACTGTGGGCAGTTTAGAGAAACCAGTTCGCCTGTCAGTTGGGTAATTCAGGCCCAGAGAGTAAAAGTCCATAAAGAACATAAAGAGTCACAATCACAGAGTACTCAACTTGGTTGGTTGAAACAAAATCCCGGTCTGGGCTTCTACTCTCTGGACCTGAATTACCCAACTCTGCTAACTGTATCTTTTGACTGTGAGAGAAAACCCCGGAATATATGGAAGTAATGAGGGCAGCAGTCCTGGTACTGTTCTGATCCCAAAAGTACAAAATGTTCCTCAGAGTCCATTTAAATTAGACTAAAAGGTACATTTACCTACAGCTACAGTATAACTGGCAGACCCTTGAGGGTACAGCCCCAGGGACAGGTAGTTGTACCCTCAAAGGTACAAATTAGTATTTTTTTCTGACAATGTGGGTAAGTGATTAAAAACTTAAGTATCTGGTGGTTTTTTTCAGCCCCATATGTTCTCAGGAAGTTGGACAGCATATGAGTCGTCTCCCCCCTCTGGACGTCCGGAGAAGCCCGCGAGAACAGGGCTGGCTCTGAAGTGCGAAATCCAGCAAAGTAACTAACTATTTCAACACTCTCATCTGGAGATGCTGTGGAGGAAGATGCTTCAATGCTTTTATGATAACGTGCAATGGAGCACCTGAGAAGGAGACCATATGTGCACCATTTTCATTACGTCATTGATGGTTTAAATTAAATCAAATCGTTTGGTGTGTCCTGCCTGACTTGGGACAGCTCTGATATGGAAATGATATTGTGTTTTCAATAAAATATTTGGAAATGTTGCCTGCGTCTGCAATAGTTCTTTTCAGGATTTTTGGGTGGTTGGTTTCTTCAGAAATATTCTCTTCTAGTGGTAGCCTGGTGGGTGGAGTAGGGGGTATGGGAATTAAAAAAAATATCTATTAAGTTGAATGCCTAAATGTCCCATTAATAACGCAACTTTAGCAGAAAAACTGCGATAAAACGGAGTACGGAGGTGTACGGTACCTTGCCCTCGGATGTGGCTCTTAAGAGATTCTGGATCGTCGCTAACCTATAGAAATGTATGTCGAAAGTGCGAGGATGGGTTTTTAACATACTGCAATGCGTTAGAACGATTATGTCAGTCACTGAATTGCTTACTCCGTGATTATGACAATGACGGGGTCGTAAAGAGATATGTGACCGAGTAAATAAATAAATAAATAATGGACAAACTCCTCCCCTATCGCCCGGGCACAGGCTCCGCGCACGGAAAGCCTGGGCTCCGCCCCACCGCGCCGCCGATTTACCCTCAGCTCTCTTCCTTCCAGCAGGGGTTTGGCAATAATTCACCGTTATTCATAATATTTCGCTTTAAGATAATCTTTACCGGCAGTCGGGCCTGCAAAACCGAAAGAAGCAGACGCCTGAAAGCGTGTGTGGTGGAGCTTGCGGCGTCTCCTCGGAATTAAATACTGTGCACCGCGATATTCCCACAGTCATAGTTACGCAGAAGCGAAGCAGCAGCATGGCAGCTTGGCGTGCAAGATTGCACCGGGATAAACCGGGAGGACAAGCCGCTGCATGTGGGGAAAGCAGGACAAAAGCCGACAGCAGCAGCACGGCTTAGGGGAAGGGGTTCTGTGTCCGGGAGAAGGGAGCCGCGCGGCTGACGGCTCCGGGTCTGCAGCTTCAGCATCACGCCGTCTAACGAAGCGCACATCTGCATTATTAATCTGCATTATCATCAAGGCTGCTTCTTCCGGGGAACTCTGCATTTTCTTCTTGGCGCCTCGGATTTCATGCGTGGGGCTGAAGGATCCCAAAGCGCAGAGGGGATCCGAGGAAGGAGGGGGAGCGGAAAGCTGGGTTTGCTACCCAAGTGGATCCGCGCTGGGCGTTGAGAAGGGAAGGGAGATCGGGGAACATGAGTCGGACACCGTGAAGCCGTGAGTGTGATATCTTTACTTTAATCCGTTGTTGCATGTTAAATTAACACGGCACGATTAGTTATCAAGTTACCAGCAGCTCACGTGTCCGATTTCCGCGATGCAGGACCCGTAAAACTAACTCATCGAAAGGTTAAATAACTTTTGAGGTTTGCGGTAACAGATGGTGGGTTCCGCGGCCAGTTCGGGGATCTGGTGCTGTCTGGGCTCGCTGTTTCATTTTGCTTTATTAAATTAACATTCTCCTATTTATTTGCTGTACCCCGAACCCTTGCTTATCTGCTACATCGTTCAGGCCTATACGATTTTGTTAGACGTATCAAAGAAGAAAAAAACATCAAGTATGTTGAAATTATTTCCGAATTTTAGTGCTTTAAAAACTTATGCGTGATACTTCATTGTATCACTGATACTCATTGTAAACAAACAACACGGGTAACCATTGATTTTAATACAATATAACTGTCAGTAAAGCTTAAATCTTTTTGTTGCTGTTGTTACGTACTTGTACTCCTTTTGGGAAGATGACAACGTGTGATTGTAGCTGTTGCCCTGCTGAATTATGAATTGTTATGAATGTATGGTTTGGTCCTTGAATAGTCTTATCAGGTTCTTGCTTTGTTAGAAGTCGTCTAGCTCCAGCTCTAATCCTGTTGACACTTGAGCATTCCAGAATCTCAGCCCACAGGCTCCTATGCCTAGTTGACTCCTTGACAGCCTGTATGTTTGTAATGTGCCATTTTTCTCACTTGTACATCGCTTTGGACAAAAAGCGTCTGCTAAATATGGGAATGTTTGTATTTTATTTGCTTCATTCCGCTTTTCCCGGCTACAGGCTGCCCGGTTCGCAGCAGGCGCGCGCTGATGGATCCCGCCGTCTTGCCCGTGGAGCTGTGGCGGGTGATCCTGGGGTACCTGCCGCTGCCGGACCTGGGCCGCTGCAGCCAGGTGTGCCGGGCCTGGCGCGAGCTCATCCTCAGCCTGGACAAGACGCTGTGGCGGCAGCTGTGCCTGCGCTGCCCTGAATGCCGGCACCCCAACTGGCCCAACAGGCCAGACGTGGAGCCCCAGTCCTGGAGGGAGGCGCTGAGACAGCACGCCCTGGCCAGCCGCACATGGACCCAGAATGGGGCCGAGGTGGACGCCTCCAACTGCCTCTACCTGTTCCGGCGCAGGAAAGACCGCCGAGTGTGGCACGTAGGGGCTGGCTGTGAGCTGGAGAGCCTGCGGGGGGCGCTGTCGGTGGCAGGGCCCTTCGACCGCGTCGTGCTTCACCCGGGCGTCTACGAGGAACAGACAGAGCTGCTTCTGAAGCTGCCCGTGGAGATCGTGGGCAGGGGCAGGCTGGGCGAGGTGGCTCTCCTGGTCAGCATCGAGCAGCAGTGTCCCACCGCCCGGCTCTGCAATCTGGTCTTAATGCCCGCATGGTTCTCGCCCGTCATTTACAAGGTCGGCGTGCGTTGCCGGGAGGCCGTCGTACGTCTGTGTTGCACATGCAATAGTGAGAATCAGTTTTCACAGCACATAGTCACTTACACTGTGCAAGGAAATCTTATTCTGCATTTTGTTCCAGCCACTGAGGAACACATAATAAACACTAGCGAGGCTCTTAACCCCCAGTTACTATAGGGCCTGTCTGACCCTGCTTTGTACATCGCTTTGGTTAAAAACATCCACTAAACAAATAAAGATCATTGCATTTTTACATCTTCCTTAGTAATATGGTTTCTTGTGCTGGTGGTGGTGTTGTTGCAGACATCCTCGGGCCATGTGCAGCTGGATAACTGCAATGTGGAGGGGGGCCAGCTGCAGGTCCGGGGGCCCGGCACGTGCCAGGCTCGGTTCTGCTCCTTCGGCCAGGCAAGCGGCGCCCACTTTCAGAGTGTGGCGCTCAGTCTGCTGGATAGCTGTGACTTCTCTGGCAGCGACGGCGCCTCGGTCACCGTGGATGGGCTGCCTGTCTCTGACCGCAACTGGGCCTTCCGGCACCTGGCCGCTCTGGCCCGGGCCTGCACTGCTGGCGGCGAGCCGGGGGGGGGGGGGAGAGCCAGCCTTGCTCCCGACCAGTGGCCGCTGCCCCCTCCCTGTGCCAGAAAGAAGGGGGGTGGGACCCGGGCCGCCGGAGTGGCCGGGGGAAAGAGGAGGTGCTCGGGGAGGGCACTGTCATCGAGGACGACTGCAGCGAGAGCGAGGCGAGCGATGAGGAGGAGGTAGAGGAGCGTGATGGGGGAGACGGCGCCCTCTACAGGCCAGCTTACAGGCTTGCCCACAGCTCCCACGGGCTGTCGCACCTCCTGGGAAGGGCCCCCCGCTCTCTGTCCTCTCCTGCCCCACCGGAACTGAGCACCCTCCAGCAGGAGCTGCAGGAGGATGGGGAGGCTCGGGCACTGGTCACATCCGTGCAAGGCTGCCTGCTGCGCGGCTGCCTCTTCCGGGACGGCAAGGGCGGCGTGCTGGTGTGCAACCACGGGCAGGCCCGGCTGGAAGCTAACGTGTTCCGCACTCTGACCTACGCCGTGCGCTGCATCCAGAACGCCAAGGTGGGTGGGTGTACGGACGGGCGTGCGGGGGTGGGTGGGGGCTGGGGTTTTTCCGGACTTCTCGTTTTGTCAACATGCTAACCCACTATCACCCCCCCCCCCTTCCCCCCAGATCGTCATGCTACGGAACGAGGTGCGTGGGTGCCGGGCGACTGGCGTGTTCTTCCGCCTCGCCTCCCAAGGCCTCGTCGCCGAGAACAACATCCACTCCAACGCCGAGGCCGGCGTGGACATCCGCAAGGGCGCCAACCCCATCGTACTGGTAAGACATCGGCCTCCGGGACGTCGCTAGAGATTTCGGGCCCCCAACCCACGCCAATCCAATTATGTTCCAAATTTTTTAGGGAATTGTAGTGAGTTTCCCTCCCTTTGTGGTGCCCCTGCCCCCCGCGTGCATCGTGGTGGATGAATGGGGGCCTTATGCATGTATATTGATGCCTATGTTACTGGACTATTAAAGTTAAACCCCCCCCCTTGGGAATCTAATGTTCAGCTTATGAGTCCTTAACAGTTAAGCGCTGCTCTTTAGAGGCGTGAGTCTCGTTGCCATAGCGAATCGTCCTCAGTGACAGCTTAATGTCTGAGCAGGCATGCCAAGTCGCCTTGCATCCATGTGCCTCGATGCTGTGAAGAATCTTTCTCATTTGTTCGTGCACCACAGTGCAACAGAATCCACAGTGGCCTGCGTTCCGGCATCGTCGTCCTGGGAAACGGGAAGGGTTCTATCCGTGGCAACCAGATCTATGGAAACAAAGAGGCAGGGATCTATATCCTGTATAACGGGAACCCCGCGGTGAGGTGCGTGCTTGTCTGCTAGCATTTGGTTTTCCTGCTCAGGCGTAGCCGACTTGGGTTTTGCTTTTGTCGATTGTGCCATTTTGAATGGACACAGTGATTTACGAAGCGCCCCCCTTGTGTTCTTCGCGGGGGATGGACACTTTTTTTTTTTTAACCGTGAGTTTGCTCTGCTTTTCAGTGGGAACCACATCTTCCAGGGCCAGGCGGCTGGCATTGCAGTGAACGAGAACGGCAAGGGCCTGATTGTGGGTAAGCCCCACCTCCTCTGCACTCCGACCCCCCCCGCCCGACTAAGGCTGTAATTCCCTCCATGGGGAGGATGCGTCTGGGCCGTCGTGTCGGGAACATGGTTATATTTATTTACTGCTATATTTACATGACAAAAGAATTCAGCATTTTTTTCATGCTTTATTTCCATCTTGGACAGAAAATGTCATCCGTGAGAACCAATGGGGCGGAGCCGACATCCGGAAGGGCGGGGACCCAGTTCTTAGGAACAACTTTATTTGCTATGGCTACTCTGATGGCGTGGTGGTGGGAGAGAGGGGGCGGGGCCTCATCGAGGGGAACTACATCTACTGTGAGTGCACCTGTCTCCGGAGTTCTCAGCACGTCTGGTCCTTTATTTGCTGTTCGTTGTGCCATCTGCTGCCTTGTTTGTTTGTCCGCCTGTCTGACGAGACGTTATGTAATTACGAGCATCTGTCTCTTGCGAACACGCTTCCTGTTTTTAGACTTGTCGGTCAAAGGCTATTTTGAGTTGTTGATGCTGCCGTTCGGAGTGAGCGGTGTCTCCAGCGTTCTTCTGCGAATATGCCGTTTTAATGCCTGCCGGCTAGCCAGGATTCACTGACCATCACGGCTTCTCCGGCACCCCCTGCAGGCAACAGGGGCTGTGGCGTGTGGGTGATGTCCTCCAGCCTGCCTCAGCTCTCAGAGAACCACATCACCCACAACCGCATCTACGGCGTCGCTGTCTTCTGCCAGAAGGATAGTGAGGCCGCCGGGGACGGCTACCTCGCGGGCCAGGGGGCCGGCGGGGGGGTGGTGGCAGGCGGTGGGGGAGGAGCCAATGAGAACTTCAACGAGGAGGGAGAGATGCTGGCCTGGGAGAGCGACCTGGACAGCGAGGACGAGCGCTACACATCCCGGCGGCCGCTGGGCGTGGCTCTGCTGGAGAACAACCTGATCAGCTGCAATGGAGGTGGGGGGGCATGAAGCGGCGGGGGGGCAGGGAGAGTGAAGGGCAGCAATGGGATCTGGTACCACAAGTTGAAAACTGATATTTCAGAAGCTGAAGCTCTCTGAGTGTACTCTGTGCACCCCAGCAGTGGTGTTTACCAGCACTCAAACCATACATTTGTGTGGCGCCCCCTGTTGGCCACTTCACTATATTATATAAATGCAGTAATTTTACCTGACACTTTTATTCATAGTGACTTACAGTAGGGTTCCAATTTGTACAAGCTTCCTAGGATTTGAACTCGCGACCTTTGCATAGCTAACGCAGTTCTTCGCTTGTTGAGCTACAGGAGCCGGTCTTTAGGAGATGCTGAAGCGGCATGTTATGCTAACCTGCTAGCTAGCCACAATCGGACTCTATTTGTTAGCTATTTTAGTTTTTAATTTTTTTTAGTGGAGCCCCAATAAGGACAGTGTGTACCCTTGTGTATCCGCCTCCACTATCCCCACAGCGGTCGGGCTGTACGTGAAGACCAGCGAGGCCCTGAACCTTGTGGGCAATGCGGTGCACAGCAATGGGGCGGCGGGCGTGGCCCTCATGCAGAGTGCGCAGCTCTCCCGCCTGGTCGCCAACTGCATCTGCGCCAACGGGCACACCGGCGTGCAGGTGGCGGCCGGCTGCCGTGCCGAGCTCCGCGGCAATGGTGTCTATGACAACGGCGGCCACGGCATCAGCGCGCGCGGTGACGGGCTCATAGTGGAGAACGACGTGGTGGGGAACCGCGGCTGTGGCGTGCGGCTGATGGAGCCGGCCGACTTGAAGGTGAGGGGGCGTGGTCTTTGTGGGGGGTGGGGCCTACGTATTGGCCCCACCCTCCTCCTCAACAGCCCCACCCCCCCCCACCCTCAGGTGTTGAGGAACCGCATTCAGCCTGTCCAAGGCTGCGGCATCCTGGTTCTAGAGAACGTGAAGGGACTGGTGCAAGAGAACGTGGTGTACCAGGGACGTTCCGGAAGCACCAAACCGCTGGTGCGCCAGGACCCCGGCAACAACGACTGTCTGCTCCTTAACAACACCTTGCTTTTCCACGGCAGCCGGAGGTAAGCCGTCACTGACCCGACACGTGGGCTTTTCATCTGCTTAATCGGTGTAAATTTGCATATTTGATTCTGATTCGATTCTGATATTTCATTCATGTTCATGTTGGATTCAGCTTGTCCTTGCACAAAGTACACAGATAATGAAATGCAGTTCTGGAATCTGATCCAAGAATGTGCAACAGTGCAAATGTGCTAGAAACCACTTCACAATATATACATTTCTGTAAATTAATCATTAGAAAATGTGCATCTGTACAGTGGTGCACATGGTACACACAGTGTGGAATAAATAATGTTTAAAAACAGCACCTATGATTGTGGTAAATAGTGTTCGCAACATAATTCTTACTCCCAAACTATAGTGCCAATACGTCCAACAGCGATAAATGATACTGCTGGTGTACATTCAAGACGGACACACACACACACACACTAGACAGTCCAGTTTGTTTACCTCTAGTAAAAATATGGCACTGAGTGTGATGTCAACACGGTCCATCTGCCCCTGGCTCCTGTCCCACGTCGGCACCAGCGAGGGCCAAGCGGAGCCCGCCTGGGCCCTGGAGGACCCCCCGCCACGTCCTCACTTCGAGGGCCAGGGCACCGCCCCTACAGCCCCCCCCAGCAAGCGTCCTATCGCCATGGCGACCCGGATCAGCGCCAGGGTGGAGAGTGGTTGCCACAACAACGGCAGCATCCTGTGCTCTATCCTCTGATTTTCCAACATCACTACCAACATTCTCAGGTAGCGGGAACCTTGTGGGCCCTTCTCTTCAAGTCGGGGGCGATCTGCTGGATCCATGGTGCCATAGTCTGGCTACATTTGCCCTGGGGGGGGGTTCTGCTATGATGTGTTCACTGCCACTTTGGACATGTTGGGTCACCTCTGACTGTGGGGCTTCTGGTCCTGACCCCAAAAGTGCCTTTAAACTGCCTCTCAAATCCATCTTACTCTCCCGCTTCCCACAATGCACTGCGCTCAGTCTGCTTGGCTGACCACTGCATTTGACAGCAAACAGAGGAGCATTCCTACATCTCACCTGGCAGTAAACCGCTGAACACTAAAGCGCTGTGAGAGAGAGCCAATCGCAGACTGGCAGCACACGCACAGTTAATTTTTACATTTTAACTCCTGGTCCTGAAGTACAGTTTGCATTTAGTGTCGCCTTGTAGTACTGAAGCCGTAACAGAACCTGTCAGCACTGCCGCATGACTTTGTCAGCCATGATGTCGTCCAGTGCCGGATTAGGATTTTCACTCTTACTAGTGGCCTTTCTGTAACCCACCTGCTACCTTTCTGACGTCACTTAAACATTCTCACTTTCTTGTTCTTTGATCATTCACAGGCGATGTGTCAGAGGTCAGGATTAGGGGGCCAAACTGCATTTTGCTCCGGTTTCTGGGAAAAATGAGGAATCCGTATTCTGAAAGTACAGATATTTAATTCCTGTCCTTTGATAAATCATTTTAGACTTCGGGATATAATGGATAAACGATTTTTGTGCTTCTGCACCCCAAATGCATGTGAGGCTTTCCTCACATAGTCCAAAGACATGCAGTTAGGCTAATCGGCGTCTTTAAACTATCCTGTGTTTATCTTCCCTGTGATTGGCTGATATCTTGTTTGTACTGTCTGGGGTGTTAAATTCCAAATCTAACCACAAACCAGAGCAAAACGCAGGAGATAAATCCGGAAGCAAATGAGGGAGGTCACAACAGAATGACCATCTTTGCTTGCATTTCCTGCCGAGCGTCTATGGGAGGCAGTGTTGCAGTCCCTGTGTGTCCCTGTGAACGGGTGTGTGGCATCTCAAACCAGCCCCACCTCTTCGCACATGCAGGATCATTCACTTCAAAGCAGTTTCCAATTTCCAGTTAACTGAAACATTTGTGACCACTGCAGGCTCACCTGGGTATATACATGTTTTAGGATTTGTAAGTGCAGAACACTTTCACTTGTGCAATATTAATGTGAGAGATGTACCTCTATACATCGCAACTAATTGCATTAAATGAGAAGTTTAAACTTTTCGTGTGATTTAAAAAAAAAAAAAATCAGTGTAATGATTTGTGTAACAGTTCGTTTGAATAAGAAGCCATATAAGAATTAGTTCCTATTAGCTAAATATGATGCTTGATATTTACCTAGTTTTTTAAGGGAGTGAAATTAGCTTATATGAAGTCAGCTAAGATGTTTTCCGAGGTTTCCATCTGGGATCATTCAGTTCATGCTGTGGCAAAGTGAGCTTTTGTACTTTTTATAACTGTGGTAAGTGTTCCTATGTAGAAGGTGTTAAACAATCAACTTACGGCTAACTGTTGTTTTAAAATGGTACGAGAGTCATCAGTATGCAAGACGCGGCAGGAACAAAGCTTGGGGTGGGTTTTAATGGCAGGTATTTTCGATGTTCCCTACACTTTGCTCATATGGTGTTAGTATGTGTTACTCAGAAAGATGGAGTCCGCACACAACCCCTTTCCCGGTAAATATTTATTTGCCAGTTTTAAGACCCGAGTTTAATCCTGCTAATTCTAAACTGTAGGGTGATATGAGATGTTTAAATAATTAGTAATAATACTGCACTAAATACATTTATAAATATTAAAAGGCTACCCGCCTTCGCAGTTCATGCATCTCTGCTGTTGAGTCATGCGATCTTCAGCAAGGTACTTGTTAAATCGCCTCTCACGCTTTTGCACTCGCATTGCGCAGCTGCGTGTTTCCTGCATTGACACTCATTTATTCTCAACTTCTACTGCAAAACCTGCAGTGCCTTTATAAGCAGGTATTTCTGTAAAATGGTAACAGTATTGGGTAATGCACTGAACAGTGTTTTGAGAAGATATGCGAAAGATACATGGAAACTTAAAAGATGGTTGCTAAACATGTCAAAAGTATGTCTTCAGAAATCACCACAGAACTGAATTTGCAGCTCCTTGACCCAAACTAAAAAAAACCCACATAATTATAATTTGCAGTAGGACCCCCCACAACTCTGATTAGGACAAGTGGTTATAGAAAATGGATGGATGGATGGATTGATTGTTGGGTAGGACTGTGGGTCGGTAATCACTTGTATCCAAGGCCAACGCAAAAAGACACAATTTAGTGTAAGGATTACAACACCTGGACTATTGAGCAATGAAAAAAGTAGCATAGCAATAGTTCACATTAAACAAGCACATGACCACTGGTAAGGCGTGGAGAGGAGGTCACCTTTAATTAGCATGACACATGATCACATGTAGGAGTGGTAAAGATAAGGCACAAGAAAGGCTCAGCGAGGTTCACAGAGCTCAGCACCAGTTACAGCATAATCGCGTTGGGGACAGTTCTGCGTAATATTGCAAGTCAGAAATGCGAACAGCAGGACCACCGAAAGCTGATGGTTTACTGGGACTCCGGAGTGCGTAGACAGACACTTACGAGGTCATACTAAAAATCCAAGGTCATACTAAACATAAAACACACACAAAAACAGGACTTTTACAGTGCACACAAAGAGGAGTGAAATGGTTGTTGCGGAGTGTTAATTTAGTACAACGTTCTTATGCTGAAATCAGTGTCTATCATTTTGATTGTTTCTAATTTAGATTTTACGTTTATTTTCAGTTCTCATTTGAAATCCAGCTTAGTTTTAGTTAGTTTTTAGTGTGGTTTTATTGGAAAGATAGAAACTATTTTTTATATCTTTTAGTTTTAGTAATTGTATTTCAATATCTGACATTTTATGTGTCTTTAGAGAATCCTAGATGAATATACACAGTACAAACGTAGGACATAGTGTACTAATGTCCTCAAAATGGGCACAACATTCTAGGTATTAGGAAATTTCATTAAAGATAAACAAATCACTACTTTTGCTGAAAAGTATCAGGTGTTTTGAAAGCAGTATTTATAGATTTCATTTGACTAATTTTTTTTGTTGTATCTTACCTCATTTTGCAAAAATGTTTTCTTGTAGTTTTAGTCTACTTTAATGATAACCCTGGCTGAAAGATATGCAAACTAGTGTTTTAACACTCTAGAGTTAATCTCAGTTTTAATTTTAGTGCCTATTCTCATATCTCTCCAAGAAAAATTATTCAAGTTCCATAGATCACAGATCTACAGTGAGATGTCCGTGTAGCAACACGGAGGCATAGTGCATTGTGTTGTTTAACCTTCAAACAGAAGCTTGCTGTGAACCTAAAGGATGAGCTCCTTTGGCATGCCTGTCCCAGACAGCCCAGCGAGCAGATTGTTGGCAGCCAGCTCAGACATGATGCCCCTTGTGGAGTAGGTGGCGCTGCCAATATGGGGAAGGATCACTGCAAAACAATCCGGAAACTGTTAGCACTGTGGGCTGCAGGCTAATGGAGAATAGCTACTTTCCGGTGGAGAAACACGCCAACGGGAATAAGTGCGTGACGTTGGTGTACGCTAGAAAAACTCACCGCAGTTCTTCAGTGTCAGCAGGGGGTGATCGGTGGGCAGGGGCTCGGGGGTGGTGACGTCCAGACCAGCCGCTGCGATCTGCCCGCTGGACAGGGCTTCGTAGAGGTCCTCCTGGTTCACCACTGCACCTCTGAAAAGTCACGGATGTTAGATACTCTGCCAGTTCATCCCTCAAGGGAAACCTAAAGGACTTCAGGATCAATGAGCTTTAATAGAGTAGGATTAGGAGCTGGAGTAGGAGCAGATTGTGGTGCCACCTGCTGGTGTTAATAAAGATTGCGGTCTTCTTCATCTTGCTAAAAAACGCCTTGTTACACAGTCCCTGGGTCTCGGGGGTCAGGGAGCAGGACACGATGATGAAGTCACTCTCTGACAGCAGTCTGTCCAGGGGCACTGTCCAGCACATGCAAGCCAACAGAAGGAGGACAGTAAGTACCCAAATCATTGGAGAGGACATCTATATCCACCCTCGATGACCTCAGACCACAGCACATCCACACCATCCTCACCAAACTCCCCCTCCACCTCCGCAGCCTGCGGTTTGGCCGTCCGTCCTGAATACAGCAGCTTTTCAACCCCAAAGGGCTTCAGCCGGCGGGCGATGGCCATCCCTGAGAGAGTTCATAGTATATGTCAACAACCAAGCATCAAAGCCTTGGCTGGAGTACCCTGAACCATCCAGCAGGGGGCGGCATACACAACCTCCCAGCAGCATCTCATAGATGACCCCCTCCCGCCACACACACACACACACACACAGAGGCCGGGTTTTACCGATCCGGCCAAGCCCGATGACACCAACGGTGCTGCCGGACAGACCATAGCCACACAGCCACAGCGATTTCCAACTTCTCCACCCGCCACTGCAAGAAGGGCATCCATTATACTACTGAAACGGTCATGGAGAAGCGAAACATTTTCACTTATTATAGAGGACAACCACCCAGACCACCTGTGACCTCGACCAGGACAAACAGTTACAAGATGGTGGGGACGGTTTCCCGTATAACAACTTCTGAAGGCAAAGAGACTTAGGGTGTGTCCGAAATTGCATACTTGTTTGCTATGTAGCAGGTGAAATACAGTATGTGAAGTGAGCACTATGTCCGAATCCTCAGTATGGATGCGACAATAGGCCACCAGTACGCGGATGACATACTACATTCTGTGACAACCGATGGATTCTATGCTATCCTTCAAGACCACTGGAGCAGTGGAGAACGTCACACGCTCAGAAATTTCTGTCAAATTAGCAGCGGAAGTGCCGTCTCCGTTCAAATTTAAGTACAAAACAATACCCAGTCACATTAGCGGACTTGAATATGCATTTTTTTTCATTGACGGTTTTAAACTTTCTCGGAGGTAAAGCTGCGTCATTGGAAAACGTCTGTTTCCAGTAATATGCAGGGTGGTAACTGCAGTGTGTCAGAGTACATGCATACTGTATCCACTGCATGCATACTGTATGCACTGCATTAACAGTCAAGCAGTAGGCTTCTGACTAAGTTCAGTACCTACTGCGTAAGCATGCAATTTCGGATGCACGCCTAGTCCACGCTCGCAGGGGTAAAGGAGCCCAGGTTAAAGCACTGACTTTTTGACCTCTTCCACTCCCTCGGGGATGCGGCGCGCAGTAGCCAGCAGCAGAGCCACAGTCAGCTCCGCCGTGGCGTCCGTCAGGACGTCTGGGGTGTAGCCCACGCGGATCCCTCTGTCAGGGGGGAGACGGGGAGACCGGCACAGACCACCATAAGCGATGCCTTGGGAAACTCGATAGTACAATAATTTGCTGTGGCTGAATACGGGGAAAATAATGTCCTTGTGCAGGCAAAGCAAATAATAATAATACCTTTATTTGTATAGCACCTTTCATGCATCTGAATACAGCTCAAAGTGCTTTACAAAGACTGCAAATAACAAATAAAAACAACAAAAAAGAATCCCTACCGTTTCTTTATTTCATCTATGGCTAGATGGTCAAACCCTACTGATAATGTGCTGATCACCTTCAAGTTTGGCCCTAAAAACAAGAACCACATAAAGCATCATTTCCCATGTATGTTTTTTAGCGCGATTAACATCCTCCGCGGTGATATTAGGCTTTGGGGGCCGCGTCGGCACCTGCCGCATCCAGCACTTCGGCGTCGATGCGCTCCGATAAGAGGCAGAGCAGCCCGTGCGCCCCGGACACTCTCTGCAGCAGCTCGGAGCGCGGAATGGGCTCGTCGGAGTCCCAGAGCGACACCTTACACCTGCACACAGGGCAGTAAGCAACGTGTAAGGGGAGAATAATACAGGTACCCACCATTATTATTGTCACAAAAGCGAGCAGACGGCATTCTGCGAAATAACCCCGTAATTTAAAACATCGAGCACAGAACTCAATCAGTCTATTCATCTGTTATTTATCGACATAAAATCGGTTGCTGTGAGAGGTACCATTTATCCGTGAGATAAATTGTAATAAATTTACATTTTATTTCTGATGCTACAGATTACCGGTCTACCTCAATGAATGGCCATTATTAACTGCGGCACGTTGCCATTGCAAGCTTCTACGTCTGTATAATACCCACATTCAATGCTACCGAAGAGGCACGGGTGGAAAAAGTTTATACTTTATTGCAGTGCGTCCTTTGACACCTTTGCACCCAATGCCACGGAAATAGGCATAAAGAACGGAAGTTACGAAGCACAGTCATGGCTCTCGGGAATAATAACGGCGGCTAAAAATCCGGTACAATACGTCCATAAACAAATATTTGCTGTTGCTAGTCTCACATGGCGATCTTAAGAATTGAAAGTGGGTTAGAAATCTGCTTACGTCTCACACTGGCTGAGGATCCTCATTCCTTCGCCCGGTATCCGCCGCGTCACGAAGACGTTCATCAGCTTCTGCGCTCCCTGCATCGTGGCCTCTCCGCCTGCCTGAAGGTTTATCCGAGAGAACCGAGCGACGGTAGAAGGCCGGCTTGTTTCACTGTTCTTCCCAGATAACAGAGGAGGGGCCAGCCTACAGCTGCGCAAAAGCCCGTCGCCTTCACCCGGACATTAGACCACAGCACCACCGCGTGGTTGTAAAAAGTAACAGCATCGGTAGGCCGCTGTCTTTTCCCGGTTTGTTGCACGTGAATGACTTACAGTTTTTTACAGACGCTAGGACACATTTCTCAATACTTAGGTCACTTTTGCAAAACTCTTCACACAATTCTCCTAACCGACGTTCAGCTTGGCAAAGCAGTTCATTTCACATTCAAAATGCACTACAACTACCAAAACACTTTATTCAGGTCTCAAATAAACTCATTCTTCCAGAACACTAGCAAAGGTTGACAGCCGACAAACACTTTGTCACCCACAAAACAATGACACATCTCTGTTTATAATTGCAATATATGTTACTGGAATGAATCAGACATGATGCAGAATTCATCAATATTTGTTTATTTATTTAAATTTTTTTGCACTAAGTAATTCCAAAATACAAGAATTTGTATACACACTGTAACTACGCCGGTCACAAGGGAGTCAACGCTTCATACTGATGTTCAAATTCCCGTTTTATTTTATCCTCTTCATGCAAAGAACACCGTGAAAACTATGGACGCAAAATAAAGTTTTTCGGTATAATACACACACATATATGTACATCTTTATACAGAAAATAAACATATCTGAAATATTTATGCAACAAACAAAAATAATAATTACCGTGTTGCCTCTTTGACCAGTCGTAGAAAGAGTCGTAGCTTGCCATTCACTGTCTATTACTAAATGCCCTTACG